CTGAGAGACAGTAGAAGCAGAAATATTTTCCTTATAAGCAATAGAATGGCAATGCCAAATGGAGGAAAGCCGGAGATTGCATAAACAGACTCATAGCTTACGGTACGATATCCACATATGACCCGCAGAAGTATCCGCCTTTGAACACGTCGTAAATATATATAATTTATCTTCTTCTTGAGCGATATACCCCAGACTCTAGAGCCATACATAATGAAGGGTGCAATTCCTTGTTTATAAATGAGCGAATGAACGTTGTAATTAATACCGTATGTGTTGCGTGCAATACGACTTAATCCACGCTGTAATTTATCACATTTCTCTGATACATAAGTTAAGTGTTGTTTCCAAGAAAATTTACAGTCAAGAGAAACCCCAAGATATTTCACTTGCTTTACCACAGTCAAAGGGGTGCCATCGAAATATAACTGAAATGCATCATAACAGATGTTTCGCTCTTCAATAATCATAACCCTGGTTTTTATCAGGATTAAAATCTAATTTAAAACCTTTTGACCAGTTTGAGGCGAAATTTAAAGTCTCTTGTGCCTGTAAAAAAGTAGCAGAAAGGTCCCTACTCTGGAAGCAAAACAAATCATCATCCGCAAAGGCTGTAGTATCACAACAAGCAAGATTTTCCAGTTATAATAGGAGATCATTAATAAAATTCCAAAACGTAGGTCCTGAAACAGAGCCCTGAGGGCAACCCCTTTCAAGGTGACGGATTGCAAGCCGAACCCAATTGCGTTTGGCCGCCCGATCATTTAAAAATCAGCAGCAAGTGAAAAAAATATTCATTGGAAGTTCCACTTTTTTGAGAAGATTGAGAATACAAGGCCACCACGCATAGTCGAAGGCGCCCTTAATATCCAAAAAGACCAAAATAGTGTGCAAGTTTTTCTTTTTTCCTCTCTGAACAATTTCATTTAAGCGTAAAAGAGCGTCTTCAGAACTTTTTTGAGGTGTAAAACCATACTGATTACCAAAAAGAAGATCTTGAGCATTCTTCAAAATACGTGGGAAAATGCCAACATTTAGGCAAACGTTAAAAAGTTTATGGAGAAATTGAGGAAACATTAAATGAAACTGTTTAATAATCTCATTCGAGATAGAGTGAGGACCAGGTGATTTATTTGGTTCCAGCATAGAAATAACTGTATTAACTTCATCACAAGAAAACATAGGATCTACAAAAGAAGAATAAGCAGTACGCGCAGCTTGACGATATTCCTTATGCAAATCATCATCATTTTCCTCTAGATCCGAGGGGAAAGATTTCTGAAGCACAGCAGTAATTGTCTCTTCTAAAGAGTTGGTTGTCTCTCCAGTGGAAAGACAAATACCAGTTATTTCAATTTTTTTCATGAAATCTCTTTTAACTCCATACGTGTAAATCTTTTTCCATACACTGTGAACATCAATGGTCGAAAGAAATGTTTTCCAAGACTGAGATTTAGCATCAGCAAGCTTTTAGATTGTAACACTTTTCTATATTCGAGGATATTTACCTTTTATAAAGTTTCTCTAAGAGGCGGATTTTTACAACGCTGAAATCTACACGCCTAGAGGCATTAAGCCTCTTTCTCATACAAAAAATTTCAGTAAGACCCACCAAGGAACATTGTGCTTACCATGATTCCTAACAGGTATGGAAATTTAAAGATGCCTGGAGAAGAACAAAACTAAAATTCTCAACAAGAGTATTTAGGCGAGAACCGTCAGTACAGTCGTTAAGAATATCAATGAAACGGGTGATGCGAGAAGAACAAAATTTTCGAAAACGATCCCAATTTGCTTTCCCTGTATTGAAGATTTTAAAAGGAACATTTGAGGTGTCTCGTAAAAACGTAGAGAGACAAAATTCAAATTCAATCATCATGTGATCAGAAAGGAATTCTTTTTCAGACAGCCACCAACTCGAAACATCCTGGAGAAGATCTGAACCAATAACAGTAACTTCAATATAACTAGAACCCTGAGTTGCCTGAAACGTAGGTCCATAATCTTCATTAATAACAAATAGGTTGTTGGCAGAAATAAATTCACTCAGTTTATCTCCACGAGAGTCTGAATAGGCACTAAACCATAATTCAGATTTGCCATTAGAGTACATACACCAAACCAGTCGATTAAGATTTTTGGACAAAAAGACTTGACTAATTTTATGAGATCTAAGTCAATGTTTCTTGAGGTTCAAAATAGTATGAAAAAAGAGTGAGCACAGTTGAGCCAACAGTAATATCTAAGGTGACCATATTATAATCCGTAATAACTACATTAAAACATCAATTTCTATAGCTACACATCAAAAGTATGCAAAAATAGAGTAAAGAAACAAAAATTAATTATTAGCAGTTACAGGAAAAAAATGTCGTACAGGGGCAGTGGTATAAAATATTACAGTACATGCAAAATTTTACTACAGTTTTCCTGCTTTTATTTACCGCCCCTGAAAAGGTTAATGCGAGCATTTTTCCATATGAACATAATTCATGTGAGCTTTTTTCCGTGTGAGGATATTTCTAAGTGAGCATTTTTCCATATGAGCTTTTTTCTATGTGGGCCTATTTCCTTGTGGGCATTTTTCCTGTGAGCTTTTATACCTGTGAGCTTTTATACCTGTGAGCTTTTATACCTGTGAGCATTATTCTGTGAGCATTTTTCCTGTGGGCTTTTTGTCCAGTAGGCATTTTTCCGGTCACCGAACGGGTCAGAGGGTTTCCTACCCCCCCTCCTCCTACCATCCACCTCTCGAGAGGACTTTCTGCTCGCCGTCTATTTAGAGTGTCCTCTTGCCGAACAGACACTATACATTTACAAACATCCATGTCTTTTTTTCGGGATTCGAACTCGGGCCCTTCAGTACGGCAGTCAGCGTCGCTAACGACTATCCCGGTTGGGCAGCCATACGTGAAATGAGTTAATTATAAATAAAAATACGAAGCGGATTTTTAAGATTCTTTCATAATCAGCGGCTCTAAAGCAAAAATAAATCGCTATTTGTAATAAATGCAATGAATGAAATTCCACGCATTTTAGTTTTACAGGAACAATGTAAAAACGGAAGGGCTGGAAATTTCAATTGAAATTTATTTTAAGGGAAAGTAATCAGATTTCTATTCAGTAACTATTAGAATACAATGAAACTGTGTAATTCATTTTAATGTTAAATAAATCTAGATTACTGATAAAAAGCAAATAAAGGAGGCAAATGCTATAATAAAAATTTATATACTGGGTTTCTAGGAATATACAAACCGAAAGAGAAGCCTATACTCTGAAAAGAAAAGGGGGGGCAGATTTATATGATAAAGAAGCAAGATCAAGGATTTCTTCATTAATTTTCAATAACTGAAAAACAAATATTTCTCGCATAGAGATATTGTTCAAAATCAAACACAATTAATTTAAAAGCTTAGAAAATGTAACATAATATTTCGATTTTAGTATTGTAACTGAAGTATGTACAATTATTCAATATCCCAGCTATTTTTTAAAGTTAATCAAAGATTGTAAAAGCTGAAAGTCACGCAAGGAAGTGACATAAAGGATAAATTATATCTACTCCTTTTAAAATAAAGCGGATTCCTGGAATTATACATAATCCAAAGGTTCAGCGGCAGTGTCCTACATTCCTCAAACTGCAAGCACTAGAATTTCAGATGCATAAAAGCGAGTATATATTTATTAAAAAAAAAATACGCCTTATCGTACTTTGCGCCTGACTCAGTAACATTCTTCATAAACGGAATAGAAAACTTAATATATATACAAGGATGCAAAACCTTAATCTTTGTTGAGAAGAATGACCTGAGTAAGCCTCTTATAAGGCAACTTAGAAATTATTATTATACATCAGATAAAGCATTGTTTTTGTCCTTGACTGATACTCACAAGTCTGACTTATAGTCAGACCAACCCCACGAAATTTCTCGTGGTAAGGAGTGCAAAATTACGCCTGTCCTTGGCAACAGTACCTTACAAGCGACAGTGCGATTTTACTCAGTTCCGACCCCAAATTTTGATGGGGAACACCGGGGGGAGACAGGTTTGAGAGACTCCGACCTCTCCCCCTACCAACAACCTCTCGAGAGGACTTTCGAGGCATCGCGTAATTAAAGTGCCCCCATGCCTCATGGACTCTATACATTTACAAACATCCATGCCTTCACTAAGATTCTAAACCGGGTCCTTCGGCATAGTAGTCAGCGACGTTAACCACTAAACGACTCAGTTGATGTACGTAATGCATAATATATTGGAAGGGGAAAATTGCAGCACATAATGATCTGTAAAAAGCGTAAGATGAAATTGTCTTCTAAGATATTCTGAATTTAGTGTTGGCTTTCGATTTACAGAGATGTGAAAGAAAGTGTATATTGAAAAGCAAATTCGCTCTTCTCTTGTATTTGATCTCACCCATGAACCATTCCCAGGAATTATACTAGACCAGAGTGGCAGATATCAGGTTTTGCTTAATTAAAGAAAAAGAACAACAACAAAGTAGAAAGTAACAAAATTGAAAAATAATAAAATACACGTGTGGCAAGAAACATATTTATGCACTCAGTTTTTGATTAGGTATTAAAATCTGCCAGCCCTTTTAAATCTTAATCTCGGATGAAGCAAATGGTAACTTAGCGGAAGAAAAATACAATTCAACTAAATGCACAGTATTATTACACCAATTTAATGATGATTTGTAAAGTAGGCTTTGCACTCAATAATTCACGATCAAAATACATTCATATATCTCCCATTGAAGTAAACCATGAATATATATATATATATATATATATATACTATACATATATAGATCACATAAGTTAAGATACATACTGCCTATATGAAACAACAAAACAAAGAATAGCATGCCTCCTAGGAGGAGCCAAAGTTAAAGGATTTATAATGCTTTCGTCGCTGCAAAAGATCCTTTTATAAAATCCCGGGTTGTTACAAATGCTAACAGGATGTTCAGGAATAAATAACTATCTGCTTACCTGCGCGTGTCTATGAGGTATATCATATTCGTGTCCCTTTCCGTCGTGCCTCCTGAGCGTATTACAGTGGGATGTGTTAGGTGACTCGCTATATGTAGATAGCTGAGTCGTGGCATATGGCGTTGGATAATATAGAGGTTCTCGCTGGCTGTCATCTGATGGATCACTTCGTTTCACTTTACCGTAAGAACTCATGGAAAGATTTTCTCCTTTACCACCAGAGCTTCCGGAATCTATGGAAAGTAAATCAGTGTAAAAAGTAAGTAATAGATATGAATAACATATTTGACCAATTTAGTACATTACAGTTTTGTTAATAGTTACGCCAGAACTTAAACATATGGTCTCTCAGGCATAATATTTTCCAACTAATTGTAAAGTTCAGTTTCAAATCTCATGGAACACACCCCATGGCATGGATCCGAATGTCTTACACTCGGCTTCCCCTACCATCAAATCACTTTCGATTTATCCGTATTTTAACTATTCCCATGCCTCCCCCCCCCCGGAGTCAACTGGGAGCAATCCCGGCATTTTGAGTAGATCAATATCTAGACAGACTCTAATTTCTGGGCAAAAACTAACTTTCTTCACAGCGACTAGAACCGTCGTTTATCCTGTGGTAGGTTCAGGCTTGGCAGGGACCATATGGTACCCTTTTGTGTGCGTTGATAGTGGATACGCATAAATGGCTTGATTTCAAAGGTTGTCCTTGTGGGTTTCCCTCCCCTTGATCAACAGAAGGGGACGGTCGATGTCTAATATGCATTCTATGATTTTTCGGTGGATTCGTTGCAGTCCACCATTGTCTTAGGCTTTGTGTAACTGAAATCGGTTGACCTGGGGGATTATGTCTCCTTGGATCGCCTCTAGGGGTTGTGGTGTTTAAATGTGTATGACTCCTCTTATAGGCTGGGTCTGGGTGCCCCTTCCTCCTAGTGTTCTATCCCTATGCCGTACAGACGCTTACAAGCATTCATACCTTCTCGGGCCTTCGAACCCGGATCGTACGATAGGGCAGCCTCATCGCTAACCTCTGTATTGATTAAGGAAACAAGTTGATAGGTAACTATTTTTATGTGGATTGTACGCCAGTCGCCATACGGCGACGCTGGTCGTCTATGGGCTACCTACCAGCGCTAATAGACATTACCCAGAAAATCCGGGGAGCTACTCTCCGGATACTAGATCCAACTGCTCTAGGACACACTAGACTAATGGCTGGCCAATAAGTGACTCCGGGGCCTCCAGAAACACTAGGTTCGTAATTTGTATACCCACGTGGACGAGACTGCCTATACGCCCCTACCCCTACGTACAGATCTAATCAGCAGCTTCGTAGAGTTCTATACGTCGACCCCCGGGAGACGGAATTCCACACACGCAACGGCAGCATAAAATTTTAATTTAAATAAACGTTTGTAGATTTACTAAAATTGCAAAATGAAAATTAATTTTCTTCTTCACTTTACAGTAACGAAATCCATATATAAATTATTGCATACGTTTTTGGTTTTAAACTGAGCATCTAAAAATTATTATAGCCTGGTAAACCCCGATTCTCTATTGAATCGAATAAGAGAGAACCCGTGGAACACGATATGGCATGAATTGTATGGGAATGAGAATGGGAGAATTAAAAAGTAGAGTATAAATCCAACTTTAAAGTTGTATATATATTTGAGAACTTGGCGATAAGTTTACGCGAAATTAAATAGTAAATGGGTAATATTAAGTAAACATTAAACGGAGATGCATCAATTATTTTATCAATTTTCTTTACAATATAACTGAAATATTGCGCTACACGAAGCAGTAAAATTAGGCAAAGCAACAATCTTGTGTTTGGCGTAGATCTCGGTCAAGATTGGGTTTGGGTTTACGCGATTACAACAAAGCCTCGAGGGCTATCTGCCTAAGGGGAGGGATGCCTTCGTGGAAGACTTTCTAACTGAAACTGGCTAGTATACAAGTTACGATTAGGGAAAACCGCAAAAACGCTCACGCAACCAGCCCTTTCGCCGGATTCGGAACGCGGACCAGTGTTTAGCGACTTTACCGCTTTTCCGCTGATGGTACCACTCAGTCAGGATTGAGCCTTGACTAAAATCTATGCCAACACAAATTTGTTGCTTTGCCGTATTTTATTCTTTTCTTTGGTGTGTTTCTATTCTTTTTTATTGAGAGATAATCTCTCTTACTCTTCCTATGCCCTCTTAATTTAACAAAACAAGTCAATAAATTCTACCTTAGTCTTTTTATTCTATCTTAATTTAACAAAATAAATCAACTCGCTAAACTGATCAAAAACTTACACGAAGTCGAATTGGTACACGAAGCCGAGTGAACTTTGTTGAACATTAATAAACCTGATCAGCTAAGTGCGCCCACACCACGCATATTTTTTTTTTTTTTTTTTTTTTCTGTTCGCCTTTTCTATATAAGAATATCAATATAAAAATAAAAGTTTAGCAAATTAGAAGAAATATACTTTTTCACAGCAGTGACTACTATTAACATGCCGAAGACTTGATAGTTTATAATATAACGTTAAGTATAAGATTATAGGAAAATAGCTTTATAGATTTATTCATCCTCTCTAGGATTTCAAGTAATTTAAGTACATTTCAACTTTTTTAATCAAGTATTTTAAGGTACTAACACAATTTTCATTAAATTAGTTTTTAATATAGACATCAAACTTTCTTAATCGTTCAAAGTGATATTCCACGTAAAATTTAGAGAAACAACTGAAAAGGACATTAGATACATCACTTTAAGAAATACTTTAATTTAAAAAGTTAATATGTTTTTAAAAAATACTACTAAGCCTCATACATCCATTTAAGACTATTGCCTATATACATGAATACTCTTTCTTAACACATAAGTAATGAATGACACGACTTTATGACAAAGAGTTCAACAGAAGAAAAAAAAAAATTGTGAAACAGAGAGTCATCGGTTTGGAGGTTTTTCATTGCAAATAGTCACATTAAAACCACACAACACTTATATCTTATCTATTAAATATTTCCATTAAAAATTGACTTTTAAAGATATTTTTCACCCAAAGGGGCAATCTGCATAAATGTATGTACGTTTCTCGCATTGTGAAAAAATTTAACAAAACAAGTCAATAAATTCTACCTTAGTCTTTCTATTCTATTTTAATTTAAAAAAATAAATCAACTCGCTAAACTGATCAATAACTTACACGAAGTCGAATTGGTACACGAAGTCGAGTGAACATTGTTTGTATTTTTAACAGTATGTAGAGACATCAGATTTTAAAGAACGTAGTCCTCCACTCGAAAACGGGCATCTTGAACCCCAAACTTGGAATTCGGAATTTGTTTTATTATCTATTTCATACTTTGTACAACTTGACCAAATTTTAGATTAAAAAACTCAACGATTTCCAAGCGAGCAATGGAAACACTATACGAAATAAAAATATTTAAATCTCCAGCGCGCGAGATTGTGTATTGGAAATTCTGAAGATATGCTCTTTTTAAATATTTTGTGATATTGCTGTTGAGATGAATTTTATAGTTTAAGTACGAAGAACATGATATTTCATAAATAAATGTAACACAGAGTTTTCTGTGTTTTTAACATCTGCTTTAACACAGCTTTGGGCGTAATATAAAATCTGACGGCCTTCACAGTCTTTTTTTTTTTTTTTTTTCTCTTTCTTTCAAATTTTTCATTGTGGCTCGAAATAAAAGGCATATTTTATGCCAGTGAAACATAATATATCAGAAACATCAGGAAGCTTTTTAAGACCCTTCGTTATATGTAGTTTATGCTTTTTGTCATTTCGATTAATTTATTAAAAACTTCTATAATCTATATTCACTAAAATATTTCGCACCTGAAATAAAACGATGCACGTAATACAAATTAAAAAACTCATTAGCATAAATTCCAGAAAATGCATCATTTATGCAGAATGGATTAAAGGATTAACAACAATGTTAAGTGAAACTTCAGGTAAAGTGCTCCCCGGGAAAGGTAAAATTATTTAATTATGGCATTGGCCAAAGTTTGATGAAGAAAATCATCATTTTTATGGAAACAGCGAAAAACAATTACATTTGGAAAAAAATTATTTTTATCCGAATCTAATACAAAACAGACGTATAAGCTAGGAAGGATAAATAATTTTTACCTTGCATTATTGTTGACAATTGCAACATATCAACTAATTTCTTTTAGGTTCTCAAAATGTCATATTATCTACTAATTAACGATGGAATTTTAATAATTCTATTATAAATATAAGTTCGTTGGAAAATATTATTGAAACTGAGCACTATTTTTACTTCTTTGTGCGAAGTAAAGGAAGTATTGTAATCACGAAAATTTCCGGATATCATATTTTAACGAAATACATTTTGACGCTACCGAATGCAATTTAAGAATGTTTTGGAGTCACATCTGTACGTAAGGACAGAATAAAGAAATATTTTTTCCCCAAACGAATTATAAAACTTATTTAAAATGGATTGAAAAGAGAATTTTTTCGTAGCGTCTGTACATACGTACATATGTATGCATGTATCTCGCATAACTAAAAAACGAGTAATCCTAGAACGGTGAAATTTTGTATATAGGACTGCTATAATATGTAGTTATGCACCTCCCTTTTTGGTTGCAATTGGTCGCACCAAAAGTATAGAAATATATATTATATATATATATATAAACCCACTTTGTTACTCGGCTGAGTAAGCTCAGCTTCTTTTTATTCTTATATATTGGTAAATTGCGCATTGTTTGCTTTAAAAATTGATTGATTATGCTGTTTTTAATCTTCCGGTTAATGTTTTTATGCTTTTAGTTAATCTGCCTGCAATAGTTGCAGAATTATCAACAATTTAAAACGTGTTTAAGATTTTTTTTTTTTTTTTTTTTTTTTTTTTTACTATAGCAGCCCTATTTGTTTACATTTGAAACTTAGAGTAGTGAATTCAGTTTCTACAACTTCCGTGTCTTTTTCCGAGTGGGACCAAAATTAAATTTTCATTTTTGCAGATCGAAAAATCTGGTTTGTTGCCTCCTGGGCGAGTTGTTGTTCGTTTTTATGAGTTTTCCCTATGTGTAACATAAATAAGAGAGAGTTTCCCTTATAAAGTCATCAGCGAAAAAAATCCCTTCCCTTAGGCAGATAACTCTTGTGCGCTTTGTCGCATTTAAATAATCTAACTTTTTGTAATAATATAAAATAT